TGCCCCTGCAGGAGCCAAGGCCTGGACAGCCTGCTCTGAAGCATTAATGGTGAGTGTTGTGGCACAGCCAAGTCTCCCCGTGTTCTGTTTGATGATGCTTCACATCGTGTTTGACCATGGTTGTCCTTAATACCTGTGCCCAGGGGCTTAGGAAACAGGGGAATCACTGCTTTGCTACTGAGATTCCAAGACTCCTAGGTTACTCCTTGCACTCAGGCTGCACTGCATTCTCCTCCTGTGTTGATGCTGGTGCTTAAGGTACCCCCAAATATGGCGCTTTGGTATCGGAGAAAATAGCAGAAGCAGGAAGGTCATCCTCACTTGACCCCCACAGTTTTCTCCTGAAGCAGGTCATAAACCCCTCAGGTCAGAGATGCCCTCTCTGTACCCAAAGGAAAAGTACATCCTTATCTCTGAAGATGAAGGATCACAGAGAAGAAGCAGACCTTGCTAGGTTCCCCTCCGTTTAATACCATTAGATGATACTCTGTCCAAATCTTTCCCTGTCCACTTTTTGTCAAACCTAGCATAAAAATACTTGTTTAGCCATTTCTTTGGGTTGTCATTTCCTTACGTAGTCTACAGTGTCACGTAAAACATCTATTAAATAAATTTGGGTGCATTTCTCTTACTACTCTGTCTTTTGTTATAGGGGCCCCAGCCATGAACCTAAGAAAGGCAGAGTAAAAGGATTTTTCCCTCCCCTATGTAGGGGAATGTCAGCTCCTAGAGCAGTGGTTCTCGACCTTCCTAATGCGTGAGCCTTTAATATAGTTCCTGTGGGTCGTCACCCAGAGGTTGAGAACTGCTGTCCTAGGGAATCTGCTTTCTTACTGCTCTAACAAGCCTCCTACAGTGATTTGGGGCAGGGCTGGCTAGAGGGCAATTGAGGGCAAGTCCTGACATTGGACCACACAGCTCCTCATTCCTTCTGCTCCCAGAAGGAAGCCCGCACTGGGTGCTGGACCCCCCACACCAAACAGATATGCACAGAGCTCTGGCTCTCACGTGGTGAGACAGTTTCCATTTCTGTCTGGGGCTTCCTTTGCCTGTCCCAGGAGCACTAAGGATTCCCATGCAAATTGCATTCTTGGTGATCTCTCCTAAGAGACCCAGAATTCCTCAGGTGAGTGGCAGGGCAGCAGCAGGGCACCTGGGAAGGTTTGAAGGCCCCTTTATCCTTTTGCATCCCACTGAAGTATTTGGTTTGCTTTTGCTTGGGTTATTTCCAAATCACATTTTCATTCCCTGAGTGGGAAATGGGAGAGGGACAAGGAGCCCCCATGCCTCCAGGGTGTCATGGGAAACCTACTCCTTCTCACCACCTCTATAGATTAATCTGCTGATGGATATTTGGGAGTTGCTTACCATTAAATTCCCCTATCATTAGAAGCCCATCTTTTCTGCCTCTCCTTCAATTCTCATTTATTCCACAGTCGGCTATACCCACTACTTCCTAGAGAATTAATTAGTAGGAGCTGATTGGAGTTTTTCAAATGCATAGAAACAGCAGGACATATACAGGATGATTGGGTGTGCCACCCCTAGTGTATCAGTCTAGGGTGTGTGTGTGTGTGTTTTCCTCTCTTCCTGATTACTGCTCTCTAATTACCCCCACCCCCGAATTAATTTCCCATTGAAATGTTGAAGGTGAATGGGGTAGGTTAGTTAGAAGCTTAAGTAAATGGTTTAGCACCACACCTCATTGGCAAGAATTAAAATGCAAATCCCCTCACTACCAGGTAGGCAGGAGCTTTGACGGATCACTGGAGGAAAGAACAGGAGACTAGTAATCAGAGCCCATCAGCAGAAATGGCTTCATTTCTGCGCCCTCACACAGTTTCGTGGAGTGCTGAATTTTGGGAAATGGAACTCATGCACTAGAAGGAAGAGCTGGCTCTGCCAGGTAGCCAGGCTGGTATGACAGGGCATTCCCAGGCTCTTTCTGTTTTGGAGCAGTCTCTTGCTTGACTGTATTTCAATTATGATGAAAACTCCCATTTTGTCCATAGGGTCAGGGTCAGGGATTGTACCTGGGAAGGTACAATTAGATGTTCTGAGGGCTCCTGCTCTTCATGGGTAGACCCGCTAGCCAGGTGTAGGGCTAGCACTCTGGGAGGCTGAGGTGGGTAGATTGCTTGAGCTCAGGAATTCTAGACCAGCCTAAGCAAGAGCAGACCCAGTCTCCATGAAAAATAAAAAAATTAGATGGGTGTTGTGGTGACTACTTGGGAGACTGAGGCAAGAGGATCGCTTGAGCCCAGGAGTTTGAGGTTGCTGTGAGCAAAGATGATGCCATGGAATTCTACCCAGGATGGCAGAGTGAGACTCAGTCTCAAATTAAAAAAAAAAAAAATCTGCACTTTCTCCTTCTCAGCTTCTCCCCTCCTACATCAACTGAATTCTGCAGCTGTGAATTTTGAGCAAACTTAAGACAGTCTTAAGATGGTGATTTCCTAAGGGGTTATGATTGGATCTAAGTTGTAATTAAAACTTACAGTATTTGTTTATGTCAAGAAATCAGACCGAGGTAGTTTCTAGGAATTCTCCGGAATACGAGGGAGGATTTCTGGTCTAGAACTGGGCTGTCCAATACCATAGCCGTTAGCCACACATGGCTGGTGAGCACTGGAACCAAAGTAAGATGTGCTGTCAGGGTGACACGGACGTTGGATTATAAAGAATTAGTAAGAAAAGGGGAATGCAAAATAACTCATTAATAATTGTTTAATTATTTTTTGGATTTATTGGGATAAGTAAAATATAAAAATAATTTCACCTTTTTTACCTCTGTGGCTATTAGAAACTTTACAATTCCAGGGGTCCTCAAATTTTTTAAACAGGAGGCCAGTTCACTGTCCCTCAGACCATTGGAGGGCTGGACTGCAGGCCCTGGGATGAGTCCACTGCTCAGCAGGACAGGCAGCGGTGGCAAAAACACCCGGCGGGCCGGATAAATGTCCTAGGCGGGCTGCATGGCCATAGTTTGAGGACGCCTGATTATGACTATGGCGCCTATTGTGTTTCTGCGCGGCAGCACTGGGCAGGATTTCATTGTTCTCCGATCTGTGCAGGATCCTGTTTTCCCACTAGAGGGAGATATGTGCCAGCTTCAGAAAGTCTGAGGTTGGCATGTAAACTTTGGCTGCTTTCGAACCTACTCTTTTGAAAAAGAAGAAAAGAGGCTCAAGGTTTTGCTTTCTTTCAATTCTGCATAATTCTGATGTTTCTGGAGGTTGCACTTTATGTGAAAGTAAAGCCAAAATAGAGAAGGGCAGAGGCAGAAAGGTTTTCAACTCTCTTTGTATTTATGAATTCAGAGATTCTTGCTCCTTCTTTGTTGAAATGAAGTCACTTGTCAGTTGTTTGCTGAGTGTTCCCTTAGACTTGAGCCTGTGCACAATGCAACACACACATCTGTGTACACATTCACACACATCTGTGCACACATTTACACACATCTGTGCACACATTTACACACATCTGTGCATGGGTACACATACAATATGGCCTTCTGTGTACATGTAACAAAAAAGACCAGGGCTGTACTATAAGCACACATCTCTATAGCACTCAGAATGTATGGCATGCAATGTAGATGGGGCAGCCAGAGTAGTGCAGTATGTACCAGGCCATTGTGCAACACATCTCCCTTTTCTGTTATTCCTAGAAAAAGAATAAACGTTGCCTGAAGTTTGGGACTAGCATTGCTGTGTGCATGCAGTGTGCATGAACCTGCACTTTGATCTTGCTCTGGAACCAGCATCATCTCATGATTTTTTTTTTGAGACAGAGTCTCACTATGTTGTCCTGAGTAGAGTTCTGTGGCATCATAGCTTGCAGCAACCTCAAACTCTTGGGCTCAAGTGATCCGCTTGCCTCAGCCTCCTGAGTACCTGGGACTACAGGCGCCCACCACAATGCCCAGCTATTTTTAGAGACAGGGTCTCTCTGTTGCTCAGGCTGAGCTCAAGCAATCTACCTGCCTTGGCCTCCCAGACTGCTAGGATTACATGTGTGAGCCACCATGCCTGGCCTTCATGATTATGTTTTAATGATACCAGTTTCTCTTGGTTTTCCTCCTGAGTTGTTCCTTTTTGATTTTCTGTGGGTTTTGCACTTCCCTTGGTTCGATAGTCATTGATTCCTCCCCCCCTTTTCTTATATATGCACGCTCCTTCACTTTCTGGGGACTCTGAGCTATTCTGGCACCTTTGTCACCACCCATATACTGGGCACTTCTAAGTCTTTATCCCCAACCGAGCGCATTTTTTTCTGAGCTGCACCCACACCCATCCAGCTGCCTGCTAGACATCACACAGACCTCAACATCAAGCCCCAGACCTCCTGTGTCCTGCATCATGGCACTCATCAGCACTGTCGTGGTTTCTTATTCCTTGTTTGTCCATCTTCTCCATGGACAGTAAGCCCCAGGAGGATGAAAGCCACGCAGATCTTGTTCTGTGTCAGCCCTAGTACAGGTCACCACACCTGGTGGTTGTGCACCCTCAAGAAATGTTTGAATGAAGATTTTTTTTATATCTTTTGTTTCAATCAACTATACTGTTTACTTATAAACCTGCTTATCATCATTATATGATTCCATTTTATTTTATCTTCTTAGCATTATAAAATGTAGTTATGACGACCATAATTTTCTGACATGGTCTATGTAAAAATTTTTAGCAGCCTATCTGCGTGGGGCATTTGCCCCAGCCCTGCCCGTGTCTTCCCGTATTGGAAGCTCTTCTCCCTTGTGCCCCTCCTTTTGTGACCCTCACTACGAGTTGAATTTCCATCTCCCCTACTTTGTACTTCCAGGGACTTAGGTCACAGAGCACTGGAAAGAAAGGTCCGGGAGCGTGGCCTGTTTCCATGCTTGCAGCTCAGCCCACAGGCTGCTTTTCCAGGACCTAGTCCAGTCCTTTTAGTCATTTTGCTATTCAGCCAACCCAGTTTTGTTTAGATTTGTGACTAACGGAGACTGTTTTTCTTGTCAGAACATGAAGAGGAACTGGACCGAGAATTTGAGCTGGAGACTGATGCTTTATTTGGAGGATTAAAGAAGGTATAAGTAGATGAATGATAAACCTCAGTTTTCACACTTGATTTTAATACAGTGCATCTCTTTTGTATTTGGAGTTGATCCACGTATTGTATTCAGCAACAATCTGGAATTAAGTGCCTTTTCTGCTATAGAGCTGTGGGTATGCTATATTGGAGAAGGTTAATCTATTAGCATCAGTCGTGGCCTCTGACACTCTTTATGCCAACTGTTGAGGCCTTCCTTCTGGCCCCTTGGCACCGCTGGCCATCTGCAATGCTGCAGAGCATGCTGGGAACTCCTGTCCCATCTCCCCCCGGCTGCTGCTGTGGCAGGGGCGGCTGTAGCTCATTTTGCTGCTTCAGTAGCAGGCCAGGGTGGCCACTGCTCATTTACCTTCCTGAGTCCTTCCTGATTTGACAGGTAGCGCTTCTGTCCTAGAGTTTGTTGTGAGCCAGTACCAAATTCTTCTCTTCCAGATGAGAGATACCAGACTACCTTTTTCTCCCACAACAGTTCCTTTGCCCTTGAGGCTGGGGTTCTTCTCCTTCATCCCCTTTCAGTTTCTCAGGACCCCATTTTAGTTATGGTTTGGATCACAGGAGGTCAAGGGCCAGGTCATGGTTTGGGGTTCAGGTCAAGGTTAAATAACCTGTGTATTGGTTTTTCCAAGTATTTCAATATATTTTAAAAATATCAAAGCATTTTTAAATTTTCTTTCTTTTTTAAAAACTATTTTTCTCTGTGTAATGTACCCAAACTATTGTAAGTAAATGAGCTTTTATGCACTGGCTTGGGACATACAGTTTGCATTCCAGGTTCTAAGCATCCTTCTTGCAAATGGGCTTTTGGAAGACAATTCATTTCCAAACTGGGCACTGCCATTCCTGGTGTTTTCCTACTTTCATAGTTGTAGATCTTGCTTAGAATTGTAACAAATTTACTTAAGTTTCCATTTTTATTTGCTAGGATGATCTGTCCCTTTTCCTAGCTCTGTATGGAGACCCTGGGCTAGATATAAGGCCGGTGTTGGTCTGGGACTATGATAAGTGTCTAGCTCTGTGTGGGGTGCTGTTTCTGGCTTTTATTGTTCTACCTACTAGATACTTCCATGAAAAGTTAGATGTAAATCAAGTTTTCATTTCTAACATTCTTGGCTAGATGTTTCTTATTTAAATAAGTCCTTCTGAGGATTGTTAATAAGAATGTGAGGTGGGTAGGAGTGTGTCCACTTGAGAAAGACATTTGGGAAGCTTTCTGTTGCAGTAGAATTTGAGACATAGCGGAAGAGAGCCTTTGTGAATGTCTTTGAGTGACTCTTTAGAAATATAACACTATCGGATCTCTTACAATAGAAAAAGAAAATGGTTATCTTTTTTTCCTTTTGGAGTCAAAATTCAGGCATTTCAGGTAACATTGAAAATACAGAATTGTTTGCCAGGGCAAAAATAAGCAAACATGTTTTAGGGACTTAGCGGAAGAGAAACAATTGTGAAGTAGTATGAGAACCTGAACACAGGGTCAGGCCCCTGCTAGTCCTGGAGCTACCACAGAGGTTATTGCCAAGGCCAATGGTTGGCCCAGCGGTGTGTTGCTGCTTCTAGACAAAGGAGCGTCATTCTGACTGACTTCCTGGCTCTTGTCACTCCATCAGGTCCAGCTTTGTGACTCCCTGCTAGGGGCTCCAGAGATCTGGGAAGACAGCCCCTTCTAAATATCCTCCACGCAGCCCTGAGGACAGGGCTTGGGGCAGGAGTGCCAGTGTTCAGGCCAACCTGCCTTTGTGGAAAAGCACAAAGGGCGCTGGTACATCCCCTTGGAGCTCTGGGCACTCAGTCTTTTCCCTTCTGATCAATCTCTGTCCCTCCCTCTGTCCATCTGACCATCCATCCATCCATCTACCCAGAGAGCGCCTCTCATTTTCTCCTCTTTCTACATCTCATTACCTTGTATATGGGGTGCGTGGTGTAGAGTCTAGAGTTGAGAGAGAAAATGATGGTGATATCCAACAGATGAACAAATTGGTACTGTGTCCTTAGGTTCTGGACACTTCTTACTCAATATTTCCTTTCTTGGAGGTTGTAGGAGGTGGCAAACAAATGCTACGTTGATCCAAATCCTAATTGAAAAGAAGATATTAGATGTAAATAGAAACTGTGAACTTTAGAAGGAATCATATGTTTTTTGGCCAATCTGTTCCTTGAATGCTAGTGTTGTGCCCAGAATTTCCCTGAGTCCCCGAGCCCACGAAGGGACGAACCGAGACACACTCCAATGTAAAAGCAAGAGGCAAGCTTTATTTAGCAAGCTCGAGCCTGGACCCTCTCTTGGCAAACATACCAAGGAAGGCCCCGAGCCTAGGGGGTTGGAAAGTTTTATAGGGTACAGAAAGCAAGAAGGGTGAAGAAGGGTGGGGTACATTTTTGATTGGTGGTCGGGGTATGGGGAAGTACGGGGAGGCTCTAGATTGGTACAGGTATGAGGGGTGGGGGATTTCCTAACTGGGGTCTTAGGGTGGTATGAAGCAAGAAGGGTGGGGAGCACTTCTGATTGGCTGACTGGGGTTCTTGAGTTCGGGGAAAGGCCAGGGTTTTGGGGAAGCTGAAACTTATTATCTAAGATGGCTACCAGGGCTCAAAATAGTGTTAGTCTGGTTCTCTCACTAGTGTGCAGCCGGACTTGGTAAACCTCAGCCACACTGGCATTCTAGGTTAGATGAGTATTGTGGGAAGTTGCTCTGGACATTGCAGGATGATTAGCAGCTTCCCTGGGTTCTACCTCGTAGATGCCAGCAGCATCTCCTCCACCCAGGAAGTCTCAATAAGCAAAAATACCACCAGGCATTGCCAAATCTCCTTAGTGGGTAAAATCACCCACTCATCACTGTAGCTGGTCTACAGTGATGTGTAGGGCTTTGCCCCCACTCTCATCTTGCCGGTTTGCTGTTCTGACCTTTGGTCAGCCTCTTTTCTCTTCTGGATTTGCCTGACCCCTTCCTCGTCTGGCCCTGACTCCCTGTTATGGAAGAATAACTTAAACCTCCAAGGTGGGCTTTGTGCTCCTAGTTCCTGATACTCTCCTGCCCCTCTACTTCTTGCCACAAAAACAGCTTTTACTGAGTGTGTCTGTGTGTTCAAGTCCATATTGAGTGCTAGGGACAGTGGTGATCAGACTAAGTTCCATCCTAGAGTCTCCCAGTGGGAACAGGTTGGCAGTAAATAAATGAACGAGCATAACAGCTACAGATGGAGTTAAATCCCACGAAGGTGACATTAAACAGGGCAATGTGATGGTAACACTTTGGATCATCTTCTGTGTCCTACTTATAAAATTTTAACTTGTATCACCCATGCCTTACTAGATTTTGAGTCCCCGAAGCATAAGGCTGGGATTTAATCATTTCTGTATCTTCAATGCCTGGAACAGAGGTGGCGAGTATTTTATTGAATTCAATGGCAGGGGAGCGTGAACAATATCGTGCCGGGTTGCAGCACGGAAGTAAAATGCACCAGGTCTAAGTGCATCTAGCAGATGTGCAGGCTGACGCTTATAGTTGGTGGACAGAGAGAGACCTTGTAAGCACAAGCAGTCACAGACTGCTCCTGGGAGGAGGAGGTTGATCTTCACTGGGCTCCAAAGAATGGGCAGGATTTGGCCAGGTCATCAGGAGAGGAGGAGATGCTGTCCCAGTGGGAATTCCTGTGATGAGAAAAGAGAAGGATGGATTAGGGAGATGGCGGCTCAAAGTGAAACTTCATTTAGGACAGAAAAATGGAGCGGGGCCTGACTATGGTCCTCTAATTTCTGATGCTGTTAGGGTTTGGAGGATTATAGCCCAAATCAGGAGTGCACTGGAGTGTTATTATTTCTTTGGGATAATGCTGATTGCTCTCGCCGAGACACTAGACGTGGCGTGGGAGCTTGTGTAGTTGTGGCTGTCAGGGGCTGTTCAGACTCCGTGTGCTTCCTGCATCCTGTTTTATAACATCTGCTGTCCTAGGCTCGTCCTAGGCTCTCAGAGCGAGGGCTTCCCTGCACAGGCACGGGGGGCCTCCTGCGGCGATTGTGACTGTGTGCGGAGCCTACGTGTGGCAGGATGGGGCCGCCTTTCTCTTGCTTCTCTTCTCTCTAGTGGCATCCAGGAGGTAAGAGAAATGTTTCCGTGCCTGTGTTGCTTGCTTGGAGTAGTAAATGGGTTTCTAGACGGGAGGATCTGAGTGAGACTGATACAAATGGAGCTCTATGTTGGGTTGTAGTGCCATTAACGTTTTTGCCTTCTATTTCTGAGTCAAGGTACTTGGCATGATAGAAAGAGCACAGCTTTGGAGATGGATGGACTTGAGTTTGAATGTAACTTTGCCACATCTGGGAATGTCATTTACCTCCTCTGAGCCTTTTTCATTATCCGGATTATGCCACTGAGAGACACCCAGATAATGGACAGAAGACACCCAGCATGTGTGTGCTCGGTACAGAATACATGCTCAATCCAAGTTATGTGGTTATTGTTATTTTTTTCTTTACTGGATGAATATTGCCTTGCTTTAGCATTAAGAGTCCCTGATTCCCCCTCTGCGGTGAGGAGGTATGTTCCACAGAAAGACATTTACATGTAGAAAGGGGCTCTCAAACTCCTAGAGCATTGGGAAGAGTGTTAAAAGGATCATTTTTTCCCTCTTCTTTCCTGCCGCATTTTCCCATGGTAGGTTGCTAGAATTCAAGTATACCTTTAAATAAGCCGTTATTCTTTCAGAAGTAAATTCAGGGAGGACGTTCGAGTGCCCGTGTGAAGGCTCAGGAAGACTAGACGAGGGCAGAGTGGGAAGCCGAATACGATCGTGTCTGTGCACGCAGAGGGAGAAGAGGTACTTTTCTTAAGCATAGATAGTTTTTAGCTACTTGAGCTTTGCCTGTAAAGATTTTAAGATTTAACTTATTTATAAATGCCTCTGCATTTCGATACTTGAATACCGCATTTGAATACTGCATTTCAAAACAACAAGCTCCATCTTGTTTCATTTAAC